AACCAAAATTTGTATTTTTTCATGCATAACAGATTCTAGAGTGAGCCTCAAGTCCTCCAAGTTCTTTCATATGAGATTAAATCTCGGTGTTAGCAGAATCAGGGTTTAGTTTCCATCTTTCTGACAGCCTTCTGGTTTACTACTATTGATAACTTCTTGCATTATTTGCGATGTCTCCTATCCAACATATGAATTCCAGTTGGAGTTCTTTGATATTATTGGATTATCACACTTGTCAAACTGTGCCTTGATGCCTCCCACTCACATATCTGCCCTGAGGCAAGTTTTTTGTGGTATTCCTTGTATTGCAGAAATCTGCTGAATTTCCATCTGCACTCTTTTTAATATTAATAGACTTGAAAGTTTACAGAATTATAGACCTGATCTAAATTCTAATGAATGTACAGGAAAGAATCACGTTAGCTACACAGRATACTCAGCAAAAGGAGAAATTAAGCTCAGAATGGCCAGTGGTGTCAGATCTGAATACAACAGCAAAGCATCTTTCAGATGACAACTATGTTAGACAAAGCTCTGAAACACAAACATGAAATACACACAGTAAGGTTGCAACATTCTTTTCTCTGTGACCAGGACAATCTGCATTTTAACAGAGGTAGTAAGCTACATTTTTCTGCTACTGTAAATACACATTCATATGAACTCACCCATCCATACCTGAAAAGAAGATGGCTGCATGTTTTACAATATCATACACATTTTTAAAATGTTGCATTTTTTCCTAGTCACATAAATACAAATAAATAAGTAAATAAATAGGAGAGTTCCTCTTAGCTTTTAAAAATAATGCATTCATTAATTATTACATTATTTTCTTGGGCTAGAGCATTTGTTCCCAATATTTGCACAGCTAGACATGCCCTGAATAACCAGAAGCATGTACCATTTATGAATAATGGTGGGTTGTATGAATACACAAAGAAGGTATCCTGTGCATTCTATGCTATGATCACATAGATTCAATGTTGATGTATTAAGATTGTGTATATAGTTATTTATAGGTTTGTTGGGAAAGAGTTAATAAAAACACACTCAGCCGATCCCACTCCAAAAAAAAGTCACTGAATTGCAAATCAATATGTTGCTCAGTGACTGTCATTTGACATGTATTGYGGACTACAGAAGGAGATGTGCAGAGTTCAACAGTGGGTGCTGAGGATCTGAGGTGCAGAAAAAGTACATTTCAGTACATTTCAGGTGCTCCTTACTTTGGATTGCCTTTAGTGGGATTCCCGGGATTAAGGGTTCATTTGTGGCTGTGGTACCCTCCCAGTGTATTTCTGGAAAAAACAACTTTTGGATTATTACATCCATAAAGAACACAGTTCATGTACTCCAAGACCAAGACACTACAAAATATAGACCATTAGGAGATTCTTGTCAGAAGAGCACTCCTGGATTAAAATGCCAGTGTGACTAAGAACTCACTTTACAAGGTCTTCTGGAAGCTGTTGGCAGATGTGTTGGTTTTGTGCTCTGATCAAATCAGTTACTGAAGGCCTTCACAAGCTCATAAATTAAGACACTGCACTCATAAACTGTGTTTTGAGCTCCACATGACAACAAAAAATAAATCTAAAGGGAAAAATGCAACTTTTTAATAATAAAGAATGCACTAGCAAACTGATGTTCTGATCTCAGAACCTTAGTTGCTTAATGGCGTGGGGTTTTTTTCTCAGAAGAAATGAGCCAGAAAGCTGAATGTTGTCTGTCAGAATTCAAAATAAATCTACAATTGTGGATGTTAGAAATGCTAGTAGTCTCTATTAAATCATTGACTATATTGCTGAGACTCTTAGGGATTGTTAATGACAGACACTTTAAAAATATGTTCACCTTAGCCCTTTTTGATAATCTCTGGGCTGAGACATTTTTTAATGTATCGTTGAGATGTCAGATATCACTGGATCAACATTGGCTATAAATGTTTCTTTGTGAGAAGGAGGCTTGTAAATATTGTAATTTAACCCAGTCCTGTTTGAGCTGAATAGATGATCAGACTTTCATCTGCAATGCTTCTCTTTCATGTCTAAGGTAAAGTGGCTGCTCTATACCTCAGCAGCCTACACACAACAGTCCACAGGAATGACTGATCAATGAGAGTTGGCTTCATGAACGCAAACACCACAGCCACAAAGGTGACTTGGCATCTGCCTGACTACTTTCAGGAGGGCAAAACTTTAGACAGAACTTGTAAATGAATGCTTGAGTTCCTTCAGAAAATAAAAAACAGAAAAGTCTTCTGATAATCTATGGCACACCAGACTCTTATTCTTTGGTTCATCATASACATCAAACTGCTTGATTTCAAATTACTCCAATGCATGGAAATGCACAGAATACCCTCAGCCTCTAGCACATCCATGTGAGTGCCTGACACAGSTTGCATTCAGTGTGAACTACAGATACTAAACAATAACATTTCTCACCCCTCTCTAGAGACCGAGAGAGGAAGGTTTCAAAGGCATAAATAACCAATTCTGAAATCAGTGGGAATTAGATGCTAAAGCTTCCATCTGTGCTATTGCATACATTTGCTGTCCATATGCTACTTATGGAGTACTGAAAAGACAGTGCAGGTATCTATGTGCTGGCAGCTGAGACTCAATTACACTGCAAAATGCACATGCTGTGCATATCTATCACCTTCTTGCTTCCTCTTACTGATCAAAACATAATCAACTTGATCCGACCTTCATTAAACAATTGTCAGTCACCGCCGTACTAACTTTGCCTAGTGACAGTTCATCCTAATWGTATCAGCCAGAATAAACTGAGTAAGTCAGTCATGAAAATAAAGCCAAGTTGCCATTGTTTAAAAGACTTCGGGTAACCATCACTGTTGCTGCTATCAAAAGGCATTTGGGTTTTCTTTTTCCTCTTTCATTTTTAAAGAGTTCAGGAACTTCCTTCATTGCTGCAAGCTTCCCTGAGGAACAGAAAAGGAAGCATGGAGGAATTGCTCTGTGTGTACTACCAGAAGACAACAGAGCAAAGGAAAAAGCTCTCCATGTGCATTTGCTCAAGGATGTGAACAATGGTAGTGGAGAAGACCCTCAGCCAACATAGGCCAGACATATAATTCTCACAGTCAGAATGTTTAAATGAAATKCTYTTACCAAGAAAAGCAACAGGCAGCRAAATGGTTGGACGGCAATTTAGACTGAGATGTGCAAATATCTTCATTCCAAAAATGGGCACTTTAAGCTTTTATTCTTTTCAMAAGGACCTAAATATTAATGTCAAAATATATTGGTACTCACAAATCTCCACATAGTATTTTGCTGAAACACTTCAAGTTCCAAATTTCCATATTTATTTTTTGYCCATCATTGGATAATTATTTACTGTTGGCTATTGTCCTAAAAATCCTTCCTGAACTTAARGATTTCACTTTTGACCTAGTATCCACAAATACCATAGACATAAACATGAATAGTCAATGCTCAGCTTTTTCAGAAAGCTGTTGTAAAAGAACAGATATGTCTAGAGAACAGCTGAGGAGCTGTTGGGGAATGCTTTTGGAATCAGGGCTCCTTTTTCTACACTTTTGCCATAGACAATTTCTTCTTTAGAATATACTGGGGTGGGCACCACTTCCACTGAAACCAGTTCCCAACCTCTTTCCCTTCATGAAAGCATAAGTTAAAAAAAAAAAAAAAAAACCAAAAAAAAAAACCCACCAACCAAAAAAACAACAAAAAACCAACAAAAAAACCAAAACTACCAAAAAACATGACTAACTGAAAGATAGGCAAAGGATKATGTCAAATCTCTGTTGTTCAGATACTTGTGTAGGTTTCAGACCATCATTACTGACTTACAGGAAAGCTCCAAAAGCAGAGCACACTTCTTAGGAAAGCTCTGGAAATGCTGCTTAGGGCTGACTCAGAAAAGCAAGGATAGCCTTCAGTCTTGCAGTCTTTCCTGGAATGGAAGATGCAAGCTGAAATGTCCAAGAGTTAAAACATGACACAAAGACCAGAAACTTACCTCCCTATCCTTGTTCTCCTCTGGGTTATCATGAGCWAACTTTTATGTGAAACGATCATAGAATATCTCAAGTTGGAAGGGACCCATATGGACCACCAAGTCTAATTCCCTGCTCCTTGCAGGGCTATCTAACACTAAACCATTACAAAKAGCATTGTCTAGAGGGTTCTTGTACTCTGACAGACTTGGTGTCATGATCTCTCCCCTGGGGTGACTGTTTCGGTGACTGGGCATCCACACAATGAAGAACCTTTTCCAAATATCCATCCTGAACTTTCCCTGATGGACCTTCATGCCATCCCCTCATGTCCTATCACTGATCACCAGAGAGAAGAGATCAGCACCTCCCCCTCCACTGCCCCCCTTGAGGAGGTCACCCCTCAGCCTCCTCCCAGCTGAACAAACCAAGTGACCTCAGCCACTCCTTGTAAGTCTTGCCCTCAAGACCTTTCCCCACCTTGGTCCCCTCCCCCAGACGCACTGAAATAGTCTGATGTCCTTCTTACATTAAGGCACCCAAACCAGCACAGAGTGCTCGAGGTGGGGCTGCAGCAGTGCAGAGCAGAGCGGGACAGTCACTGCCCTGTGGGACAGTCACTGCCCTGTGGGACAGTCACTGTCCTCCCCTGGCTCACTGTGCTCTGCTGGATGCTCCCCAGGATCCAGCTGGCCCTTTTGGCTGCCAGGGCACGCTATTGACTCATACACAGCTCGCCATCAACCCAAACACCAGATCTCTTTCTCCAGGGCTGCTCTCCAGCCTCTCATTCCTCAATTTGTACATATAACCAGGGTTACGTCATCCCAGGGGAAGAGACCAGCACTTGTGCTTGTTAAATTGTGCTGATGGGATTTCCATCCCAGAACCGTGGGAAGGTGCTGGATCCCACAGTGATAGGATTGGTGAAAGAATGTATAATGAGCTTGAAACAAGAATTTTCATTGCTCTTGTGTTTGTCTTTTCTGAATATGCAATCCCTTGGATTATTTGTTGTCCAGGCACACTTGTTTGGAGCCTCTAACCAAGACAAGTGAATACCACTCTAAAGGAAAAAAGAGGTCAAGAAGCAAACCTTCCCTTTCCCACAAGGTGGAAATTGGCTAGGTGGCATGTAGTGTATGTCTCTACATTCSTACCCTCACATTGCAAGCCAGGCAAGATTTTGGCCAACACAGGCATAGCACCTCATGAGAATGCAGATTAGTCATAGCAACAACATGTCCCATCTCAGAAAACCAACATAGCTGGTTGAGAAGAAAGGGAGAAGATGTTTGCAAGCTACRTCAATTACATAAACCAACATCCATGACATCCATTTGCTGTTTGTCTTGGACAATTTTTACAGTAGAATGTTACTGCAGGAGAGTTGTTCAGGGCATACACACTGTGTATGGTGGCACTCTGGGGCAAAAGAAATTAGCCTTTCTTCCATACTAAGTTTCTGCAAAACAGAAAACAGGCAAGCAACAGAGGTACAGTAACCCCAATACCAACAGTTTCACTGATCTCAATGAAACACACCAGAGATACAGGCTAGATATTAATTAAAGACTCACTCTAGTGCCAATTATTGCAGAGTAGAAAGCTGAAGTGGGCAAAATGCAAATTAAGTATTTTTGTGTTTGTGCCTCTGATAGTACTTTTCAGTGGAGAAAGTAGAAGCCTAAATAAATATGCTTACAGTAGAGTTTGTAAATAAAACTTCAGGAAGTATCCACAGTGAGAATTAATTGAACTGTAAGGCTTTTTCTGATACCAGGAAAATCTTATTGGTTATGGCTGATCTTTCCACCCGCATCTCCATCCATTTCACACTCTTGCTCTCTGCTGTTGGTTTTTGGTTTTGGTGAAGCACTGTCTTCAGATTGCTGTTAGTGAAAAGCACCATACAGTTTGGCTGCATTCTGTGAGCCCTTTGGCATCAAAAGAAGCTGAAAGTGATCCCCATCATGTACAAATAACTTGTTATGGGGTAAAATGTTGGATCCTGTACACATTGAGGCATTCTCATAGCTCCTGTTGAGTGTTAGGTGTGTATGGAAAGGACCTGTAAGAGCCAGGCTTTCACAGGGGGAAATGCTCAGCATTCTCAGGAACTTTGAAGTCAGGCATCAAAGTGCTGAGCATCAGGGTGCTCAGCACTTCTCAAAATCCAGCCCTGCATGATGCAGATTTTGAAACACAGGATAATTTCCACACCAGCAGCATCTATGAGTTTTGATATTAGCTGTTGCCTGAGAAATCAAGACAAAAACATACCAATTTATTTGGATTTTTATAAGGAAATAGAGCATAAGCATTATATATTTATGTGCTTTCTTTGCACAGAGACCTTTCTACTGAACAACACTACGATGTCACTCAGCTGGGGGAAAAAAACAAAAAGTGATGTGTGCATGAATGATGAACTGTAAGTTTAAATTTTCAATTAACCATATTGTGAATTTAGTGAATATGGCAGCAAACTGAGCATTYATTCTACTCTGGTGGTGTGTTGTGCAGCTATGATATGAAATTGAAGGGCCRTGTTCTGCAAAAAGGGATTAGCTARCAAMAAAGGACARCAAACAYACTGGGAAGGAAATTCAGAATACAGCATTGTGCCACTTCAGATCAAGTAGCTCTTCAACAAGAATCTCTGAATTTGCTTTATAGGTTGCCTATGTTTATCAACTAATAATACCCAAAAATAATAGCCTTTKTACTAATTAGAATCCAGATCAAACTGAAGTGACTGAAGTAACCATGACACTATATGGATTTCAGTCCATTTTTTTCTCATACATATTTATATATATGCATTTTTTGAGGAGGCTTGTCAAGGATTATTTTCCTCATTGCTGCTGTACAAGAGGTATTTGAGTCAATTTGGGTGCTGYGGGATTTTTGCAATCCAACATTTTGCCACTTGATGGCACCAGCAAAACACTTAAACTTGATCAAACTACCGAGATTTCAAATTAAGGTAGTTTGAAGCATAGATGTAAATTCTTCAAAAGAAGAAAATAAACAACYTCTTATATCAGCATTGATAACTTCAGTATATTAGAAATCTGAGAACAATTCTGCAATGATCATACAGTTAACTTCACAGGGCTGTGAAGTGCATTCCTYGTGACAGCTGCTCACCAGAATGGATCATCCAGGTACAAAGGCTGAGGAAGAGAACACGGCACCTTTCTGGAGATTTTCTTCCTTAATAGGAAGCAACCAGGGACTGCTGTRACTCTGTGCCCTTGTACCAGCTATRTAAGGAGGAATGAGATTTTACAGGAGTAGGTCAAACTCTGCCCCCATACACACTGAAAAGCACATAACCTTGGACTCTGAATATTTGACCAACAGATCATTAAAATGCTTTCTCCATTATTATGCAGGCACATCTTAACCTGAAATATCAAAAACTATTTTCCTTTTTCCTAGTTTAAGCATTTTCTTTCCCTATAAAAAATCTATTTTCTTGATCTTTACAAGACCTTTAAATTGAAGGAAAGAATATATTCTTTAAAACAAAGAGTGAAACATGCACTCAGAAGAAGTCTTCCACATTCATAGTCCAAGGTCTTTCAGAGCAAACATTCTTCCTGTCATCAGGAGTTATTAATTGCTGACAGCCACATGGAACCTTTCCGGAAAAATACACTCTGAGTGGTGCTAAGCAGACCTACCTGGGAGCTATTAACACTCAGTTTATCTACCTTATAGCCTGTGAGGGATCGTTTCAGCCATTACTGTCTTTTRTGGGAAATTCATTACCAGGTATTGGCAATACCTTCTTACATTTTCATGGACCAACAACGCCTTTGCCTTAAGGATCAACACTATCCATCTTTGTGCAGTTTTGCACTAGAATCGATCACGGAGTTTGTGCAGATGTGCTTTGCTAAGTGCACTGGCAGTGGGTCACATGCATACGCCTTCCCAGTCAAATGTACTGGAGAAAAGTAGTTGCCTCCTTCCTTCTGCAGGCGTAATGAGTCCTAAAGTTCRCATCAAACAAGACCACAAAAATTGGGAAAGGCCTTGAAAAGCACCCTTCAGCCACTGTCAAGAGCCCTAGTTATGCAGACACATATGAAGCTAGAGTATCAGCATCTGTACTCTGTACTTCCACTGAAAAGGTTTTCAGTGGGTTTAGTGACAGCACAGAATGAATGAAAATGGGGGTTTTTTGTTTTTTTTTGGCTTATGGGTTTTAATCTAGTTTTGCTCTTTATCATGCCACAAAGTATTTACATTCCTCTSGCTGTCTCCCAGCTCCTTGACTTCTGGTGGTTCCCAGACCTGCAGATTCCTGACCAAGCAGGTTTTAAGGTTAGGCAAGGTATGTGATTGCCTCCCTTTAYAAGAATAAAAGGCTGCAGAGAAAGTCAATTTACACATTTGAAACCATTTATTCTCTAGTTGTAATTTCGTTTCTGTTAAAATTGGCAAGAGTGATATGTCTGATTCTCTTAATAATTTACAGAATACATGGGAAAGTGACAGGAGGGAGAAGCAAAGCGTTCTCTGGCCTGATCTAGAAAAGAAGGTGAAGATCATGAGGCTCTATACACTGCATGACTTTCAGGCTAAAACCACACCTGAGAAAAGGAACAACTCTTTAGAGACCCCTGGCATGTGTTGGAGAGTAGAAAAGTAGTACTAAGTGGGAAACTGTCATGAAGGTCRCACAGGTTTCAATGTGTCTGTTATTACTGAAAGAGTGCATCTCTCCACCTAGTGCTCTGACATCATAAGGAAAGCTGCAGAACCACTGCATGGAAGCCAGTGTCTCCAMAAGGACAGTCTCTCTCATGTGAAACTTGATTTATGCCTATTTTATCAAAATTTTTTTTGAAGAGTGCCCACAGTGCACTCATTGCTAGGAAAATGGGATGGTGTTTGTCTGGAGCACTCCCTGGATTTGTTCTCGGCCTTTCCAAACGGGGAGAATAAATCCCTCCACAGTGAGCCTTGACTTCTTTTCAACAGACAGATAGACTCCATATGCTCTATGGACTGAACATAAAGGGGCAGATAACATAATATTGTTTCTTGTGTAATACTGGCAGACTCCAGCAAAAGTCTCATAGAACTCCAGTGAAAGCATCTCAGTGCCACATTTTGAAAAACTGCTGATATCTTACTTTCTTTTCCAAAAAAAAKCTCTACCTTTCTTCTTTCTCTTCTGCCATCTRTTCTGGGTGGCTTCAGGTTTGATTRYCCAGTGTGAGTTTTAAAAACATAACAAATATTCTAAACAACTCTCTACCCTTGAAAATGCAGAACTTTGCTGGCTGTTACAACCTGAGCTCACAAACCTTCTCTAAATCATGGCAGTCATGGAAATGCATGTTCATCCTTATTTTATTGCTGCCTTGAGTTTAGATGTTATAATGAAAAGTGATCTACAATGGTTCTTAAGTAGTTCTGCCRTGCCAGAGCTCAAAGCTCCATTTATGTGTATCAGCAGTATGTTCAATTATTGCAGTGAAAAATGYAACAAGTCACACTGTAACACAACAAAAGGGAAAATGAAAMTAYTTCTTAGTATTTYTTTTCAATTCACATTCTGTTACAATAATACMACTGTAACAGAAYGTGAATTGAAAAGAAACTYTAAGAAGTATTCTTCATATCTACAGTACCAGTAGAYACACATCAGTTCTAACTGTAGAAATGGAAAATCAATTAGAATTATCCATGGAATACACTTTCAAAGCTGGTCTGTAAGTATGGGATTTCTAGAAAGGCTTCCCATTATTAAGACAGACATGAAATTTGAATCAGAGTCCCAGTTCGTTATAAATGTAACAATATACAAAYGGTTGCCAGAATTCAACACTTTAARTSCTGTTAYCTTGTAGCATCACACATTAAAAGTAGWTCTTTTGTTCAGCTCAGCTGAAGCATGAGTTATGCTGGCACAGCAATTTGTGAGATATCACACCTCATGTTGATTGCAGTGAGTCCCATAGCAGCACAGCACAGATTTCATTATAAAGTGCCTGACTTTTGTATGTGGTATCAAAATGCGTGAATAAAATTGATCTAGCAGTTTATCTTTRAAAYACCCATGTTAGTACAGAAAGAARTAAGCACAGGACTGTRTTTGAACTCTTTTGGTGAAGGGACYTATTTCCTCTTTGTAACCATATGACACCTATCTTTGTGGAGACTGATTCAATAATGGAATGGCCCAGCTGCACCCTGAGTCACAGATGACTTGAAGAGAGTTGGGTGCARCTCCCATGTCACAGCTATGTCATTAGCCAGGCCACTGAACAAACCCCAGCTATGGGAGGAACAGAGTTCCCACAGGAACTGCTAAGGCTAAAATGAAGTTCCTGCAGGGCCTCTGTCCTCATGCTGAGCAAGGAGAGGAGTCCTGAGAAGTTACCACCACCGCCTGCTTGGGAATGAATCTGCAACATCCCTCTTCTCATTGAGGAAAAGAAAGGGTTTTAGCAACGTGTAGATTTTTGTACACAGYTTGAAGAAACAAGAAACCTTGTGTGACAATGTATAAATAATACAGCCTAAAAAAGGACTATCATCTGACAACATCTCCAACCCATTTACAATGGACCCCTTGACGAAAGGTCTGGGAGTAGATAAGCCTTTCTTATGAAATACACATGATTTTGGAGACCTCAGTGAACAACTTAGATTAGCCCAGTAATACTGTACTTCAGGCTTTTATTTTTATTTTACCATGAAGAGCCATTAAGCAAATTAATTACTTTTTCAACCTTAGATATTCTTCTGACTTGGTTAAATTGCCAGGAGACTCTTAGCTAGGATTTGTGATTAAATTCTTGCCCTTTAAAGTTAGTGTTTTATTTTGCTCACCTTTAAAAAAAAAAAAAGGCTGCAAGGTAAAATATAAATTATGTATTAGCATGGTATGAATATGTATTTTCTCTGCAAGTATAAACAAGGGGTTTTTTTGTTTTGCATTACTGATAAAAGGATTTTTTTTATTTATTTATTTTTTGTACTAATCGTACATACCATTGTTAAATAATATAGAGTTTATTACACAAAAATCTAAGATTTTTTGTTCTTCACTCTGTTTTAAAAAGACATTCCACAGATCACATGTTCCTGATGTCTTTTCAGTCTTCAGCACCTGGCAACACAAAACATTCYTCACATAATGAGTGGTATCAGAAAGAACACTGCCTGCACTGCTTACACATCGATTTGTCCCYAATGTATATTGACTGCACTGATTCAGATAAAGCGTGGGAGATGCAAATGAGAGCAGGTCACTCTAGGTAAACCATTACTTTTCTTCCCTAATATARACTTCCCAAACCACCAGACTTTGGCTAGGTACATTTCAGTAGTATCTTATCTTTCCTTAATGAAATAAAAGGGCAGGTTTTTCCTCTCATAGCCATAATAACACAGTGCAGGTTCCTTGGCAATAAGTASCAGCAACACTAAGAGGCACAAAAATCTCTCAAACAAAGCATGCAATGATTAGTTTTAGAAGATTAGAAGTGTTTGCCTAGCAAACCCTGCCTACCACCTGCTCTCCTAACAAATAGAATCTTGCTGAGTTGCCCATGGGTCTGTTGGGTTTTCTTGGCTGTGTTGTTCATGGCCTCTTTACTTAATGTAAATTAAAGTGTTTGAGAGTACCTATAAGGCACAACTTCTCTCTCATAAAGCAGATTTATGAGAGAGAAGCCTCAGAGAAGTCCAGGTTGGTACAACATCTCATTATGTCATGATGCACAACTTCAGGAAGTGAATTAATTTGGCTCCTGTACAAGACGGTGACTTTGCTTTACAAAGCAGTTCAGGGAAGGGGTTTGCTCTCAGGAAGCTGCTGTATGCAGTTGTGCTAAAATTAAAACTTTCTTACTGAAATAAACTACTGCTTTAATTTTCTTCAGATTTCATTATTCCCCTGATTTTAATAARTCTTCAATTACTCTATCATTTAAAACTTAAAGCTGAAAAGAACAGCCACAAGAATGTGGGCACTCCATGAAATCCCAGTTCTCAGTATCCCATAAAATCTCCAGTTTAGCTTTACTCTCCTTCCTCCCACAAATTAATGTCTTCTTAGAGACAAATTTTGATTACACAAGCACAAACTCAGCTACTATTAATTGAAGCTGCGCAAGARTCTAGTCCACATTTTACTTCCCTTAAGCAACATAAAAGTAAATGAGAATCAGTATGATTGATCATGTATTAAAGCTGCAAGGGCAGCATCATTGGGAATTCTTTGCAGGGTACAAGCAAAAGAGGATTAAAGAACTAAGATACCATCTTTTTGATTCTCACATCTCTCCCAGTTCCTGCAAAGTGTTATATTTAATCTGAAACTCAGTGAAATGTGAAATAAGGACATTTTTTTCTTTCTGTTTTTCTTCCTGACAACTCAAACCAACCCAAGACCACTGTGCCATTTCCCCCTCTCATCTCTACCCTACACACATTTCTAGGTACGCCAAGTCCCCAAACTTCAGATCACCCGAGGATCGAGACACTAGAATCGATGCAAGCAGTCATCAACCTTCCCACCCCAGTATCTCTAGCAAGGCTTTTGACATGGTTGTTCTGAGGAGTACCAGAGATAACACACTGTTGGTTTACCTTTTATTCTTGAAACTTACTTAGAAACGCTATGGCAGCCATGACTCTTTTTTTGCTGAAGTTTAACAGAAACTGAATACATCAGTGGTCAAGGTAAGCACATGGGCATAAATTAAAGCTATATGTGCTGATATATGCAGTTTCATGAACTGCATGAACTGATGAGGAGCACTTGGCAGCTCCTGACCACATAGGATTATGGGGAATTTGGGATAGGAGAAAGCCAGCACCTCTATGTGCCATGGCAGTGTTTGTCAGGAAGGGTTTGGCAGTAACTGAAACAGAAAAAGCATATGTGGCATGGATAAGAAGCTTTTCAGGAAAGTAAGAGCTGATAATGTTAACTGGGAGGTCAATTTGCATTAACTAGCTGCCATTCCCATTCACCAGTACAATGCTGTACTGTTATTTATATAGTGGGGTACGTGAATGATTTTTTATTGGAGTATTTGTCCATCCAAAACCAAAATAATTCCAAAGAATATTAAATGTTAGGAGCAGTCATTTTTAGTCAGTTTTTGTTGATCATTGGTCAATTTAAGAAACACTAATCGTGTGTGGAGGTGGACTTACAGAGCCTATTTTTGCACAACAGGAGGATCATCAGAGACCAAAATCTATTTCCAGCAAAGCTTAACAGGCTCAGAAATAGTAGGTAAGGGAGCAGATACCACTGGCACTCAGGAAATTTACTATTCCCTCCATACATTTTCATTTTCTCTGAGATTGGGACACTCCAGTTCTCATGACTGAAGAAGAAAYCCCTGGTTAAATACAGATAATCCAGACCACACTCAGGTGACTTTTACCAACAAGAAGGTTGTGCTTAAAAGCTTTGTGCCTTTTCCACATCTCATCTTTACAAAACTCATTGTAGCTATTATGTAATTAATGCTGGCAGCATCATTGTGAGGTAAATAAGGAAACAAAGGCAGAAAGACCGGACAGATAAAAAGTGGTGACAGAAACAGGGTTGGAAACTAATTGCACTGGAGTTTCATTTTCACAAGACATCTAGAAACACTCAGYTATTCCTGATGGTGACATTAGGAGTTCAGAATGAACTTCACAATTCATTAAGCTTTAAAGTTTGCTGATCCTGTTTGCAAAAATCAWGCACAGAAAATGCAGGAAGAATCTTCCCTGCTCATATGTGAATCAACCCAGAGCTCCCGCAACTGGCAATGGGAAGATGGTTTCCTGTAAAGACAGCTTTTTTTTCTGCTATAAGACCCAGCTCTCAGTTGCTTGTCACTACCTCTTTGTCTGAGRGAATCAGATTTCCAGATCTAGTGGKGCAGATGATCACKTAGAGTGCTTCCATAAAGACTRCATCACACATCMCTGGGTTAACTWATGCTGATTAAATAGCTGATCCAGTTTAATCCTGCTGATTTTGTATCAAAAGAGTGAAGTGAGTTCTGTTTGCACATCCATCAGGTCAGTTTCCAAAGGCAAAAGAGACATTAGTGGCAGCTCACAGAAAGCATCCTCTTCCACCAGCATCTCTGTCTTTACTGTGAGCATTCATCTGCAGTTTAAAATGCAGACACATTGGTCATTCTGATCAATGCAGACACACTGTTTACAGACGTGGCAACGGAAACAATAAGAGGCAGTTCGTTTAAGGCAGTTTATAATCATGACAACAAAAGAAAATGTACATAGTTTTCCCTGCTTACCATATGTGACTACCATGGAGAACTTGATTCCAAGTTATTTGACTTGAGTTCAGCTAAACTATGTACCTCTTGAAACTTCCACTTGAGTACTAACAGTGCAGCAAATACATTTTTCCAACAGTTTTTACTTTTATTAGAATTTGCTAAACAGATAACTTAAGGAGAGGAGGGCAACCAACACATTATTTCAAGTCTTTAAAGTAGTCTTCTCCACACAGCACAAATATTTGGTTTATACCCTACATATTTCTTCTTATCCTTCAGCTTTCCAAGTTCATCAAAGAAAATGTGCAAATATATTAGCCAAATCCACCAAAGAYAGTGACCCCCAAGACCACTTTTAAAGAGCTCAAATATAACTTGTCTCCAAGAATAACCAGTATGCTACAAAATACTGAAAGGGCTTTAGAGATAACAATATACAGTTGGGACTTCATGGGTAAGCAATTTTTATTAAATTAATTTAACAGGGATAGCAGTGTGAGACCAAATTAGCCCCTAAATTTCTCAAAGAATTTATTTTTTTTTGTCATTTAGTAACAAAGGACACAAAARCTGTAAATAACCCGAGGTCTTTCAGGGATATTGTACATTAATTCTGATTTTCCTAACKAATAAAAATATGTGACAATAAAATATGTCTTTGCTTAGGAATAGTTCCAATRTATCCCCTTATCCTGGATAACTATTACATAAAAGCAGTTTACAGATTGACTGGAGAACTAGATGAAGACAAAGAACTAATTAGTTCTGCATTTACTAAGAATCTCATGCTTCCACCACAAGTAATACTGGCAAGAGTACTATCAGATYCAGCTGGCAGAATTAAGCCTTCTCTTTGATAACACTTAAGCACAGGACAAAGCTCACTCTAAAGCAGAGGCAAAAGTTTAGAATACTAAATCAGTCCTGACACAGCTGGGTGAYAGAACTTCTGTAATGGATTAATGACTTTTTCAGAGTTTGCAGGAGGGGARATTATTGTGATTATCTGCTTACTTTTTATCTTATCATTTTAAGTTGGCACCAACACACAACAGCAATTCAAAAGACCTTTTGCCTTGAGGAGTGTGAGCAAACAGCATCCATGTAATGAGTTGGCAGCTGTCCTGTGAATGGTGCAGCACTGCAGAGACTGAAATGTGCTGGCTACATGTTCAGACGTGATTAATCAGGACAGTCTGACTGARCTCACCATTTTACTGTCCTTATTGCACTATGTGTTTGATAAGTGACTTATTACCACTGTAGGCTACTGCTTCCTTATTAACTGTACCAGTTTAAGTCTGGCAGAGTTTCTACGACTTATTTGCATGAGTGATTTGCCTTTCTTCCTCCAGGGTGCACCAGTAACATCAGCAGATTTTATTTTAACGCCAAGATTTACTCTTAAGAGTGTTATTGAAAAACTCTGTTTGTTGTCTTCGACATTTTTTATATTCTCTGTGACTTGTATAAAAGTGAAGATACTATCTGCATTAAATGTTACTCATGCAAGCAGAGCAAATCAAGCTGAGAGCTGAGTTGTGTTTTGCTAATGCATCATTACTTGTGATGGCTTTATATACACAGCTCTGATTGATTGTAACTGACTAAGCAATTCTGAAGGTAAAGAAGAAGGAACACATTCCTGCTCTGCTGGCTTTATAGCACTTYCAGGTTCAAACTGCATGGACTTACATAAAGCAGAGCAACTAAGTAAGGCGCGGTCATTTTCTTAGTTATAGTCCAAAATGGCTGTGGTTAAAAAGTCCCCAAGTTGTCCTGCTTTTCTGCTATTGGATTAAAACAAATCCAGATAAGGAAATCCTTTATGCTTTACATTTAACATCTAATACATTTACAAACTTCTGATAATTTACTCCCTTTATCTGAAATGGAAAAGCTGTCTAGAAAAGAAAATCACTGTTTTCTTCAGTGATGAAGAAAAAAAATGTTTTGCTTTATGATATTGAACACTTCAAAGAACACTTTCGATGGTTTGTCTCTGGAAATGAAAGTCCAGACTAGCAGCTTACATAAYTCAAAACTGAGCAGTTTATTGCCCTCTGGCTTCCAAAGTGTGATTGGTACAGGCTTGCCCTGGGCCATGCTGATTTACCTGAACAATACTCATCCACTTGAGGCATACATATATGGAATATCAAACACTCAGATTGTGCAGCACAGTAACTGCTGAAGTTCATTCTTTGGCTGCGGGACTCAAGTGTACTTTATGTTTGAACAGCTYCCTTGGCTCTGCACCAGTATCTGAAGCGTCATAAATGCAAATGATTCATACAGRTAAACAGTATGTGAGCAGTGCATCAAACTGTGGTTGAGAAAGCTAAAATGTCACATGCTAATGGCTAGAGCATCCAAAAAAACCACTTGCAGCAGTTCCTTTAAAAAGTTAAAAACACACCAATGCAAGTCACTGTTTATACTATCATATTGTTATGAGACCACATGTGAGGTCTCATGTAAGAAGACAGATACTTATAGAAGAAAGGAGAGCACAAGACATCTATACCCATTTATATCTTACCTACTGGAGTGAAACAGAATATTTTCTTTTCCAAACCAAAGTGACTCTGGGTTCCCTGCATACAGCGCCAGTAGTGAAGGGCTGGGCTGCTTCTCTTTGCCAGAGTGACTTCTAACCATGCCTTCTCACTAGTCACAGAAAATGGTCTGCTAAAATAAGCAGTTCCTGCTAAGAGACGTAGATGGCAGTATAAATCCTGCTACTTTCTCCATACAGAAAAACATTTCTGCTGATCTGTCACAAGTTTGACCTCCTGAAGGGTGCACTCCATGCTTATTTCAAGGTGAACATCCCTATGAATCCATTCAGCAAAAACAGTGCTCCTTCAGATGCCTTCACTTGTGCTCAGCTCCCTCTAATTGTCTGGTGATAGTCATCACCAGCTGCCAAGGCTGAGTGAAATAAAAAGAGCAGCCAGCCTTGGTCAGCAGTGCAGTGACAGAAAGCACAGACCAGAAATGGGATGTGAGCCAAGAGCAGGACACTGTCTCAGACATGCTACCAGAAAGWTCCTTATCTTGATTCAAGCCCAACAATAAACAACCTCCTGAAAATCACTGACATTTTGCAAATGGAAGCATTGTAGAGGSAGCATCTTTCTGGAAGGCCCAAATTTGAATCCCTTCCAAAATCAACATGCACACTTTCCTAAAAAGACTTCAAGCCCAGATATATGGATCAACATACAATATGGATCTGGGAAAATCCAGTCAACCTGAGTAGGCCACGCTTATCACTGGATGYAAAGCATGAGGAAAGTAGAATTTTGTTGCACAAACTTTGTCATCAAGAAACGTGTCAGCCTGCATGGAGACAGAAGGATGGGCCAAGAGAGAAAACATTGCCTGAATGGATCCCTAGCTGTGAAGTTCCTCACCACCAGATAGTGCTGATGGAGGTGAAACATTCCTTCTCTAAGGCAGCAGCACAAAAACRTTTACATGATTCTGTAAAAGGAGAGAGGAAAAAACCTCACAGATAATACTACTTGGAGAGACACAAGTCCTATGGTTTCAATGCTTTTTATTTTTTTAACTGACACATTCTTTTAAAAATGAAGTAACAAATAAAAAKAACTTCAATGTAAATTGGCTGGCCTTTCCCAGAGAACCATAATAAATTCAAACAGTAAAGAGAAGAGCCATTAGGGTAGCCCAGGATATGTGCAGGCTCTTTGAGAACACTAGGAGAGCTTGTCTAGGTCTAGAGGCTGTGAAAACAGGACTGCTCTAGAGAAACACATTAGGGGGGATAAACACTGGTAATGGAAAGAGTTGGTTCATTAAAGGCCAAATGGATWAATAAATGAGCATTACAGTCTGACTGAGAATAAACTTAGGGTGGGTATCACAAGATGATTTATAATGTTCACAGGAGGGAGCTTCAGAAATAGCTGAAGAGAGGATCAGAAAACAGGCTCCTTCCATTTAGGAAAGGAGCTATGACACAGCTGCCAACAACAGCTACTGACCCAGGAAGGCTCTTTGCAGGCCCTCACAAACACCAAGCTTCCATGCTAAAAGGACCCTCTGCTACTCTGCAGGGAGTCAAATGCCAATAAAGACAGCACTGCCACACACACGGGGACAAACATTCACATGAACTGTGAAGTCTCTTYGTCTGTGCACAGCACATTCCCAAAGGCTCCATACTCTAAGGCTRACTGTGACCTCTCCAAGCCCMCATTCCTATGTCAGACCTATTGTGGCTTGTGTCTCAGACCCTTCTCTCTCATTTTTCACTTATTGTCGAAGACAGGAATGTTTCAGAGAACTGGAAAGTCTCAGAGAATATATTTAAACTGAAGGGCAGTCTGGTAGAAGGAGAATGGGATTTAAAAAGTCCCTCCAGGGATTTGAAGGAGCTTTAGMATGAAGCAAGAAAGCTACCAAAAACATGTAATCTCTAATTAGAAGTCAGGCCTAGATGTCTGAAAGTGATCAATATAGTAGCCAGGGATCAATAATGGCCATTAATTTGGTGATTATAAAAATAATTWWAAAAAAATTAAGAGCAAGAGATAAGGACAGAACAGCTCTGCTGTCTTGTTGTGGTCACAGAGCTGTTTTAGATTCCTGAAAAGAGTGAACAAAAACCAACTAAACAAAACAGTCCACAAATATAATATATGTAAATATCTTCAATAATTTTTGTCAGTATTTTTGAAAATAAGAAAGCAGCAAAGGAAACTTTTGTGGAAGGCTGTCTCAGAATGCAAAGAATACATCTAAATTTCTATTTTCTGTGTGCTGACAGATTTATGATGCTGCTAAACAGATTTCAGGAACATAATACTGGAACAGCTTTTTCAGAAACAGCTAATATTGTTTCAATGCATACCTTAAGAAGCTGCAATCAAGTGGGGATTAGAGAGGCAGCAACAACACWCAGGCATTCATTAGGGTTTTTYTGACTCCTAATTAAATGAGGCATTATTCAGTTGTTTCTCAGAGAGAGCTAAAGAGGCAGYAAAATAGCACTGTGTTTTTCACTGACAATTTTTTCATTGCTTTCTTGTAAGCTGTCTCATCAAGGAATCAGACGTATTTCCCTCTCCCTTCAAGCAAATCACCAGAGTTCAGGTAACTGTCAGGATYATACTCTGAATACATAACTCAAACAGAATCTTGGTTCCAGCTGGTCCTTATCCACTGAACCCTCCCTTACAAAAAGAAAAAAAAMCCAACTAAACTAACAAAGAAACAAAGAAACACAGCATAAATCCCCTATGACTTTATACATATGTGAAATCTTCKCGGAGGTCAATCAGGACACAGTGCCTCAGCAGTGCACCGTTTTCTGCACAAGTATTCAAAGGTTATAACTAAAATGACATGACAGTAGTCAGCGACCTTATTTTCCATTAGGAAAAGATCCTCACTTTCTATCCCACCKTTACACATTTCAGAAACAATGAGACTTTTAGTTCTTGAAGCAGAGGTGATTTGTTCATTTATCAGGATACAAGAAGAGTACAGGAGAGCATCTAGAGGATTTAGTACAAAAATAACTAAATAGTAACAATAGCAGCATAAAAACAAATTAAATTTAAAAGTGAAGTATGAAGAAACTTACTGCAAAGAACTGTTGAAGATAACTCCGACAYAAATGAGTTTTAAAATGGTTGTTACCTCCAGGACAAATGATTTTAAACTAAGTGCAGACCCTTGCCTTTTGCTCTGCTTCTAGTACAAATCAGGGCACATTAATGTTTAGCAGCAGAGAAGACAGAATATTATGTTCTTTATGTATCTTCCATTTAATTTTGTTCAGCACACTTCCCAAGTAACAAAAAGCAAAAATGTCTGGGAAGATGTAGAAGGCAAAAAGATCGACATCATTTTTTAAAAAGCCTTAGAGACACATCCTAATAGGATAAGAAAAACATCTTGAACACTAGTAGTTTGGATTAAGTATCCTCAGAGCTCCAAAACATCACACTTTAGGATTATAAACTCATCCCGGGCAGTTTTTYGTGTCTGCAAAACGTCCAGCCTTCATCAGTGTCAGAAACAGTATTAAACCCAGTATTAATCTGGTCTGATATAACAGAAGTCAGATGTAAAAAGGAGTAATGAAGCTGGGATATTAAAATCTGATTCTAAAATTACCAGCCAGRTGATTACTGGGTGACAAAACTCATGAAAACTTGACACAACAGGCAACAAAATAAGCATAAGGTCCTTACAGGGAGGAAACCCACCTCTGCACTGACAGAAACACCCCATGTGTTCTACCACTTGCAGCGGGACTTCCTCTCAGTGAAGAAGACTACGAAGAAGACAATCTAAGAATGTGTTTTCTTAGGACTTGGTCAGGCTTCACATTCAACAGCTCCTCCTGCTGCTGTACAGAGCCCTCGTAGCTCTGCAGAGAACTGGGTTTACACTCACAAGCATTAAGCTTGTCAAAGCACACCAGTTTTAYTTCTATGGGCGAACAGAGATATACTCACCAGCTTATGACCTCATTTCTATTTATGTCTTAAATGGTTTCTACTTTGAAAATCCTAAGTTAAACAAAACTTTTATTTTTAACACTCTCATGTGAATCATGGGACCATATTAGGGCTCTCRTTTCATGAAGGGTCCTCCTGTTTGGCCTATACCTTAGACCAAGTACTGCATAGGCTTTAGTAGATTACATTAGATTAGCATATCATTACAAAAAGAGACATACATACAAATCTCCTTACAATCTCTCTTAATTTAACCTTTTCTCAGGGCTATGTTGATGCTTTGGAGACTAATTTCACAATATCTGAATTTAAGCTGTTGCAGARGCACTTCTCGTTATATAGTCTGGATTATTCAGAAAAAAACAACCCAGCTGATCACATAAATGAGAGGACAGTAATCCTTGGCTCCCAAAGATAAACAAAGCAAATATGTTATCAGTGTAGCTAACTGTCATTCCGTCCAAATAGGATATTCTTGAAATTCTTCCAACTGTTCCATTCATTAAAAAAATAATAATGGAAAGCGTGGCAGTTTTGACCAATTACTTGCCATCTAAAAGTAGAAATTGAGGCCAGTAGGAATTACTGTTATTGTARCATGTTTTTTTGTCAGATGGAATCAGACTTTCAGACAATGCTCAAGGAYATTTATTATACCTCCATTATATTAAGCTTTCCAGTAACATGTGGCAGACTCCACAATAGCATGAGATTAGCTGTAAAGTTAAAAACATAATGGACTTAGTAAAGGAATACTCTTTTATTTGCCTTTCAGTTCTTGAATCCTTAATTTTGAAGTTCTTTTCCAAAAGAAACACAATTATGTTTTAAAGAGAAGCTGAACTTCTGAAAAAATTACTGGGTCCTGAATCTTTCAAATGTGAATGTCCTTGTGGGTTAAACTTAATTAACTTTACCCTTGAACTAAAAAATTCCCTTTTTTTATTACTATTTTGAATCACCTCTCTTTTTAGCCTACTTTCACTATAGGAACTGGTTTATAAGGATTCAGAATGATCTTTCTGATGGCAAAAAAAAAGCTGAGGTAGTTCCATCCTAGGACAAGTCTTTCATTCAGTCCTTTCTTGCTATTCCATGCTTCAGTGCAAATTAACCCAACTTCATGAACTTATGTTTTGTACTCACTACATCTCTATACTCATCCAAATAAGATGRCTCTGTTGTGTTTTCTCAAACCATCAACTGATTACAGAGAAGTTGTATCTCACAAATCTTACATGGAGGTCCAAGGTTACTCTTCTGTGAGCTCAGATAACAAAACATCCATCAGTCTGCAGGCAGCTACTGGGACAAGTGCTTGAGCAGGGCAGGCCTGTATCTCAACACAGGGAAGGCAGTCATTGACTCAATGTTCTCAGTTTGAGATCCGTGTTTATTTTGAGTTGATAAAGTGTAACTGAACACTGGATCTTCTTATCTACCCAGCTCCCCACAGGCCAGATGAATGACAGAGACCTCTACTTATTCCAGTCTTGGGGACTTCATCATACAATAAATGGCTGCTGAATGAATCTCCTTGCCTGAGGCATAAAACCACAGCATCAAAGAACTGTAAAAGTACTTTGCTGTTTTCACAACTGTTAAACTCATCAGTAAATTTATCACTGGGTAAGCCATAGCACTGTAATGGTTGTGAAATTGATTCAGCTATGAAAGCTTGGCAATCTGCCCACTCTGCGTGGTACTCTGGATTGGGTTCTGTCTCTGCCAGTGCCTCTTGTCATTTTTTTAACAGCTCACTGAGATGCTGAGCAGCATTGCCTCACCCTGTGCCTAAGTGGAACCTACATCTTGGCCAGGCAATTCTCATTACTTGGCACTTAAGAGACATTCTTATGTCCTTTAGTGCCAAGTAGTTGCTTCCACAGCCCTACAAAACTCACTCTCCAAAAACACAGGAACAGCAGATGTGGAAAGAATTCCAAGTTCTGCCTTCCTCTGCTAAGAYCAAATCCTTCAACTGCCACTCTACATACTGGCTGTGGAAAATATTTCTATGATGT